ATTTGATTAGCCTAATTGTAAATTTGTTTTGCAATATAAACCTCTAAAGCACAATAACCACTTAAATTATTCAGGCTTTCAGCCAGGTCCTGTATTTTTACAATTACATGGCGTCAAGGTTATTCCTAAAGTTATTGTGTAACAGCGGTTTAATAATAAACTATTTATACAGCAGTTTTTCAAAGATAAAATGTAATAAAATATCCAACAATGATATAAAATAAAAATGATGAACAATAATAGTAATAGATAGGACAGATAACACAGTTAAATACAACAGAGCTCTATAGCCTTAGTAAGAAGATGTCACAGAGGATGTTCCTCAGCTGATGGGTCTGACTGACTTGGGAACAGCCCTCAGAGCCCTACCTGAGGATCTGAGGCTGCACTGTGGGTCACAGGGAGCAGCAATATAACTGGGAGCTAAACCATGAGATCTCTGAGACCTACTGACCAAGAGGCCTTCTGGCAGTCCCAAAATCTAGGCTTAAAACCAAAGGCTCTCACCCACTGGAACCGCCTTCCTCTAGCAATAAAAGATGCAGAATCAGTTGATAGCTTTAAGAAGCTGCTAAAAACTCACCTGTTATAAGCACTTTATTCTGTACTGTGTTTTTTTGGCCTTGTGTGTAGTTGTTTCTTGTTTTATCTTTAATGTTTGTAGTTTTATTGTTATTTCTTGTTTTATATATTTCATGTTTGTAGTTTTATTGTTATTTCTTGTTTTATACTTTGAATGTTTGTGTTGTTTTATATAGTTTTTCCTATGTTTGCACTGTACAGCACATTGTAACTCTGGTTTTGAAAGGTACTTTATAAATAAAGTTAGTTATTATTATCATTATTATTATTATTATTATTAAGTGCTCTAAAGGAAATCAGTCAAATATATTATAAAACGTATTTCTATTATCTATTAGACTTAGACTTAGAGACTTAGACTTAGATTTGCATCAAAATGAAATGACATTACAATGGCACATAGCACAACAGGAGAGAGGAGAGGAGAGGCAGTATGTACAGTCAAAAAATAGATATGCAGATATAAA